CCTTTAAAGTTAGTGGGTTTCCTGGGTGGTTCATAATGAACTGGCGTGTGAAGAGTCGAAGAGTCTTTCCAGCTGCCGCAAGTCACGTGAAAAAGTAAAAGTTCAAATGTTGGAGGGCAAATTCGTTCGATCGTGGCAATGAAAATATTGTTTGTACTTTCAAAGTATCGCAATAGACCTTTAAAGCTAATAGGTTTCCTAATAAAGAAACATTCATTTACTTTAAGTGCTTTCAACTTCAGCTAGTGTAAGAAATGTAACTTTTCTGCTTTCTGTTTGAAAAGCAATCGATAATCAAAGTCTACAACATCCAATTCTACAGAGAGCAGGCATTGATCTGGAACGCTAACATCCATAAAACTACTTTTATAGGTTTATTCTTTAGCAATCCAAATTGTATAAATTGTATCGATCCAATATTGCTTATTTAACAAACTTGATTGGGCATAAATAAAAATATATTTTTGTGCTTATCTAAAAGGTTTTTTATGTAAAGAAATGCAGCTTTGAAAGTTGTTTAGTCGATAAAAGTCTTTTCGAGCATCTTGACAAGAATGGAATCTAAAAGTTCCTTTTGAGAGATTTGATGTTCGTATGACAGTAATCTTAAAATGCGGCTAAATTGAGAAAATTCGTAACAGCATATTGTAATAACAAACCGCACAGAATGAAAATAATTCCTCCTCCATATTCAGAACCCATTTAAAAGCACGCATCCTTTCAAAGTAAAATTTTATCATGCGAGCTCATCCTTTATCAATTATTTATCAATGAAGGCCTTTGAAATGGGCCGAAGTGAGCCGGAATTTAGTGTTTTTGCATAATTGAAACCCGACCCCGAGAGGCGAGTTGGGACATAGCATTTTATCAAGTACACACTTGATACTAAAGTCACATACTTCAGCTATCATGCTAAAGTTTTGAATAATTAATTTAAAAACGAAACGAGTTAAGATGGACATGAAAATTAGTTTTTTCGATCTATCGTTTTATTTATGATTTATGTACCCCGGTTAAAAGATGGCCCGACTTAATGAGTATAAATGTGCAAGAAAACATTTTCTCTTATAATTCTTTCTTCTTGGATTTTACCTTTAAAAACTGTGATTAGTCTCTCATCGTTCACAATAAGCTACTGAAAGCCAGAATAGATGTGGATCGGATCAGGGCTGTGTGGTAGTGTCCCCCCTATTTGGACGAGTTCGCCGGGGTTCCTTCCATTCAGAGCAATAGTGAATCGAATTCCAGACACAATCAACTGAGACACTGGTTGAAAATATCCTATATTAGTTTTTTCCATGATTTTCCGATCAAAAACTACTACTGATTTCTACCATTCACATCGACTTACAGCACTTGTACACTAAGGAAATTCTTTTTCATCCGATGTTCCACTGGACTTACGAACCAACTGACATCGTTGCCTTGTACAGTCTCCCACCTGTGGGGGAAGTACTCGAGAAATAGCTAATTACAAAACTTTTTTTCTTTTTTTTTAATTTGATGTTTACCTTCGCCTATGATACAGCTGTACTATCGTCCAATTCCGATCCTGCAGTTGCTTCGTAAGATCTTCAGGAACATATCTCATGATAGCAGATTGGTGTAGACAATGGAAAATGAAGATAAACGAAAGCAAGAGCGTCCATGTCACATTTACCCTCCGAAGCAAACCTCCTCTCACGATATACTACAACAACGTTCCTATCCCCAAATCCGACTGCGTTCGCTACCTTGGGTTCCACCTAGACTCACGACTAACGTGGAATCAATATACACGACTGACACGACAAAACCTAAACAGACGGTATGGTCTACTGCACAGACTTGTAGGACGACAGTCTAAACTATCGACAAAAACAAACTTACAATTTACTACAACCGATTTGGACGTACGGAATAAAACTGTGGGGAACCGCTAAACCTTCCAATATCCAACGTCTCCAATTCTTTCAATCTAAAGTCCTCAGATCCATTGTAAATGCTCCTTATTATGTCTCAAATGCTACCCTCACAACGACTTTCAAATTCCCTATATCCAAAAATTTATTCCCCAAAAATTTACCAAGTTTCACAAAAAACTCACCCACCATCCAAATAGTCTTGCCCAAGCCCTGTCCGATAGAACCCATCCCTACAACCCAATAAGGCGTCTCAAGAGGAAATGGCCCCGCGACCTCCTTTCCGAGTAAACTGTAAAAAAAAACATAAACAAAGTGAAGAGGGAGGATAACATTGATTATTTTCTCCCCTCAATGTAAATAGTTGTACATAAGTTCATGTATCCGCAAATTACATATTGTAAATAATAATTACAGATTGTGATAAAAAAAATAAAAAATTTGATGTTTATATCAATAGTATAAACTGGGGCTTCACCCTTCACCTTTGATAGGTTCGCGCACGTCTTGGGGATCCGCGGCGAACTGCAAGAAAAAATAATAATTACAAAAAAATAAAAGTAAAACGAATCAGTACTGAAAACGAAAGTTTTTTTATTTTTATTTGGAGGTCGTGAGATGGGTCTGGTGTGACGTAGGTTTTAGAAAAACATTTTCTTCATCGTACCAACGTTTCGATCTTTATTGAGATCATCTTCAGGGCCCAAAGCGTTTGTTTTCCGTGTAGATGTGTCATTCTTGTCTGTCGTGTTGAGAGTGCCGACAGACAAGAATGATCTCAGTAAAGATCGAAACGTTGGTACGATAAAGAAAATGTTTTTCTAAAACCTACATCACACCAAACCGCATCTCACGACCTCCAAATAATCATGGTCCTAAACACCACCCGTTTTTTTTTTTTTTTTTTTTTTTTTTTTTTTTTTTTTTTTTTTTTTTTTTTTTTTTTTTTTTTTTTTTTTTTTTTTTTTTTTTTTTTATTAATCATTCTTAGTTTATTTTTGCACACGTAAGCAACATATGGTAAGTGAGACGGACGGGAACTAACGAATTAGGTTCCTTGATTACCGGGAATTGCAGCTTATGGAACACCCTGGATTTTTCCAGCGTTGTATATAAAAAGCCGTTGTTTCTCTATATTGTGGATTCAAGTTCAAACTTCTCACTCGAGTGCGCTAGGTATTTGAGTCATTGTCATTGATCAGTTATTTATTCCAATATGAATCGGTGGCCTGATCAGTCATGATGTCATGATCGCTGAGAAAGCATGCAGTTTCTCCATCTAGTAAAAGCTATCAAAGTTTATCAATAAACAAAAAAAATTCTAAAAACAAAATATATTATAAGCAAACTAGGCCATTATTTTTTTCTTGAAACTAATACGATATTTCGTTTTGGCACCACTAGAGACCACCATCCCTAAATTTATAAATTTTTATTTGAATTTAAATTTATTGATTTTGTGAATTCCTAAATTTTTATGATTTTGAGAAATCGTTATCGAAATATCTTATTGAAACGGCTATAATTCCAAAACAGCTAAAAGGATTTTAACCTCAAACAGGCTATATGAAAGAAGCTTTTTAACGACGTATGTACCATTAAAATAAATAAAATATTTCTGTAAGAAAATGGTTTTTCTATGGAATTACATATTCTCATTTTTTCAATAACATCGAGTTCGTTATAAATAGACTTAATGGAATTCTTAATAACAATAAATCGGCTTAATAGGGTTAATTAAGCTTTTGTCAAAATCTAATATTCGACGTAATTAAATGAGGATAAATCGTTATATTGAGGTTAAAAAAGCATCATTTTTGTTTTATTAATTTAAATTAAGATTTAAGACCGGGAATGGGGGTCAAACCGTATTCAGTTTCGACAAAGCCAATCAGTCATAATCTTCAAGTGAACGTGAATTTTTGATGGAATTTAACTAAAATTTAGATAGAATTTACTTCTGACATCATTTTGAAACGTACTTTCGAGTCCGATACTTACCCCAATTTTTGGCTCCGTCTGGAAAAAAAAATTTCAACCGCTCTTTGAAAAAGCGAAACGTGTTCTCCTTCCGTTTGCCACAACTTACCTATGCAAATCCGGATTTGCTCTCTGTACAGCCACCAAAACTAAATACCGAAGCTGATACCGACATCCTTCTCCAGCTATCAAAAATTAAAATTTTGCAGGCTAAAACCTCACCTACTCATTAATTCAGTAATCATTAATGTTCAAATTATTATTTTTGAATTTGGCTCCTGTTTTACCTACCTATTGTTTCAGTTCTGTCCAATTTGATTTTTGTGTTCCGGATTTTGTAAATAAAGTGAAGTATGTAACTTTAATGCTTGTTTTCATGGTGATATTCCCTCCTTCACCTAATTAGGAATAGAATGGCTAATTTAATTTACTCTATTCGGTAAGTATCTAACTTTAAATACTTGATTGGGTGGTGTCCGCCCGGGATTTTGTTCTATGAAAGGGACCCGCTAGTTAAAAAGTTAAAACTAGGAAAAGTGCCCACCTGGTGAAGGTTGTGGGGGGGTGTCCGGAGCGTGTGATGCTGCCGGGGCCCTGGTTCCCGCTATTGGGGGGTTCCTGAGCTGTGGCCCAATCTCCACCTGGCTTGAAATTTTTAAGGCGGAAAATGACCCAAAGCGGTTGATCGCAAAAAAAAAAAAAAAAAAAAAAAAAAAAAAAAAAAAAAAAAAAAAAAACAGCTCAAAGAAATTTTATATTAAATGTTTCGATAGTTTTTTACACTAATTTTTTAAACTCTTGGTACATTATAAAAGTATGGCCTCCCGATGGTAGGAAGGTATGAAATGTATTACAGCGAAGTGGATAAATAGACTTGATTATTATGTACCAATAAAATCATTAAAAATAAAAAATATCTATTATTGGTTACAAAAAAAAAGTATTGCTCAGACAACGGGGGTAATATCTGCCATAGGTTATTGAATTTTTACTGCTTCCGTTTATCGTGCAAGGCGCCTTGGATGCAGCCGTTTAATAGCTCTTAGTCTAGACTAGACGATGGCTGTAATTCTTCATTAGTATCATGCTTCCTTCATTTTGTGACGATTTTTTTTTCAGCACGGAGAGATCGAGTGCAGGCCCGTGCAATGTCCAAAGGTCAATTGCAAGAAACCCGTTCTGCACCCGGGACAGTGTTGTCCGACCTGCCTCAGTGAGTACTACGACTCCCAGCCATAAAATAAGACATATTAACCGAGATAATTTCCACAGAGCAATGCTACCTTCGAGGGACTCTGTACGAGCACAGCGAAGTAGTGAGTTTGAAACAGTGCGTTCAGTGCGAGTGCCATGACGGATCCATGCACTGCACGAGGATCGACCCTGAGACCATGTGCCCATCTCTTGAGTGTTCGGAAAGCGAACAATTTAGTGTACCTGATGAATGCTGCAAATTTTGTCCTGGTATGAATCCTGCTTGACCTTCCTTCCTACTAACAATTTATACATTTAATAGGCGTAAGATACGCATGTTGCGATCTCAGTGAAGCAACATCTGAAAAATATGCATACTAAGCAGAAATTAAATCTATCGCCGTATCCGTGAACTCTTTTTTTATTTAATTATGTTTATCTAAATGTTCAACCTATTTTAGGTACTAGTTTAAGTTTGGAGCTTATTTAAGTTTCCTGCATTTCATTTACAGCAAAACAACACGAAATTAATTAGTTATATAGCTTATTTCCGTCAAATTAACCCTTTTCCCATTAGAAATTAACCTTTTTTGGCACCAAATGAACCCTTCTTATTTTCAAATTATCCTTTTATATAATATCTATAGAATTAACCCTTTGTAACTAATACACCTTCTTTAACATCAAATTAACCATTTTTAACTTCAAATTACCCCTTTTTTCCGTCAAATTAACCCCTTTTTAACTTGAAATTAACCTTTTTTCATTTCAAATTAACTCATATAAACCATTTTTAACTGCAAATTTATCTATTTTTAATTTCGAATTAGCCTTTTTTAATTTCAAATTAACTCTTTTTAACTTCATATTAACCATTTTTAACCATAAATTGATCTTTTTTAATTTCGACTTAACCTATCTCAATTTTAAATTACCACTTTTTAACTTAATATTAACCATTTTTAACTGCACATTTACCTGTTTTTAATTTCGAATTAACCTTTTTTAATTTCAAATTAACTCTTTTTAACTTCATATTAACCGTTTTTAACTTCAAATTGACCTTTTTTTTTTTAATTTCCAATTAACTCTTTTTAACTTCATATTAACCATTTTGAACTGCAAATTTACCTTTTTTTATTTTGATTTAACCTTTGTTAACTTTAAATTAACTCTTTTTAACATCAAATAATCCATTTTTAACTACAAATTTACCTTTTTTAATTTCGAATTAACCTTTGTTAACTTTAGATTAACTCTTTTTAACTTCAAATTACCCTTTTTTCTGTCAAATTAACCCTTTGTAATTTCCAATTAACTCTTTTTAACTTCATATTAACCATTTTTAACTGAAAATTTACCTTTTTTTATTATGAATTAACCTTTGTTAACTTTAAATTAACTATTTTTAACTTCATATTAACCATTTTTAACTACAAATTTACCTTTTTTAATTTCGAATTAACATTTATTAACATTAATTAACGTTAAATTACCCCTTTTCCCACCAAATAACCATTTTTAGTTTCAAATTAACTCCGTTTAACTTCAAATTATCATTTTATAATTTTCATGTAGACATACTGAAGATGGTTAAATGATGAAGTGCACCTGAAAGATTAACAAGTATAGGCAGATCAGGATGACTTGTAAGGATAAGTTATATGGCAGCAGTCTAACAAAATCCATACAAAAATTGAAAGACAAAGATTTAACAGATTTTGACAACAACAAAGACTTTTAGGATCAAAATCTATTAAGACTGTAAAAAAAACTGCACAAAACTTATTTTGACACCAAAAGTAAGGAGTTCCACCAATCCAAAACTACTCACACATAATACATATAATAAACGCAATAACAAGAAAATATAGCAACACTTTTTATCTTTTAACGTCTAATAGCATATAAAAAAGAAGGATAATAACGAAGAAACTTAATCAATTAGCAAAAAAAGATACCAATTGGCAAATCTAAATTTGATGCTGTATGAGACTTTGTCAAATCATAAATTAATTAATTCCTCAGTTCTCATACATTATTTCTGATAAATTTCAACAATAAAAATATGTATGTACATTTTGTATAGGAGTTGACTACTGCAGTAAGGGTCATGATTGTCATGACAATGCCACCTGCCTTAATTTGGAAACGAGATACGCTTGTCATTGCAATACAGGCTATAAAGGAGATGGGTATGATTGTAAAGGTAATTTTTTTTAAACTTCTTGTCCAATGTTTTCATTTGCAAGTTCTTAATTTATAATTTTTTAGATATTGATGAATGCCTGAACCAGGGAGGGTTAGAAGGACATCACTGTCATAGTAATTCTCAGTGCAAAAATACTGAAGGGAGTTATGAGTGTGAATGTTTACCAGGTCATCGGAGGGTTGATAGGTAATTTATGAACTAAATAATATCACTAGATTAGAAATAAACAGCTTTATTCTTGCTGAATTTTGCACAAACTGGTGATAAATGTCGATCATTTTACACCAAATAACATTGCTTGATAGAATAATTTTTTCCAGATTTAACTGTGCTGAGATTGATGAATGTGCAACAGATGCACACTCTTGTGATAAACATGCAACTTGCATAAACACCCAAGGCTCATATCACTGCACCTGCCAAGAGGGTTACACCGGTGATGGGTACTCCTGCACTCGTAAGTATTTCATAATATACTGTGAGTTTTGTCTGAATTCAAACAATTGTTTTAGCTGTCTGTGAATTGCCTTGTGAGAACGGTGGCACCTGTATAGATGGAGGCATATGCTCCTGCCGGCCGGGGTACCAAGGCATCTCGTGTGCTGAAGATCTCAATGAATGTTCGACTGGTTTACATTCATGCGATAATTCTTCCCTTTGCGTAAATATGCCAGGATGGTATTACTGCACATGCAACAAAGGATATCAACCTTCCTTCCCCCATATCCAACACCAAAAACTTTGTCAAGGTAAGGTTATCCTGTTCTCCTTTTCACGTAAACATGTTCTAATCAGAGTTCATACTTTAGACTTTGACGAGTGTACTTCGGGGAATCATACATGTCATGAGAGCGCATTGTGTGTAAATTTAGACGGAGGCTACAAATGCATCTGCCCTCCTAATCTTGATAATACAACTGACTGTAAATTGAGTAAGTCATCTAATTCAATTAAAACTGATAATAAATTTTGAAAAAATATATGATTTTACTTGAGATAGCCTTTTAAGACCAATTAATTTCCGTTTAAATGAATACGTTTAATTTTTTAAGGCTGCATAGTTAAGGGATTTGGCGAAATACCCGATGGTGAGTCAGCACCTTCAGCCGATTGTGAAACGTGCGTGTGCATCGAAGGCCAATTGGTCTGCACCCAGAGGTCCTGCAATTGTTCCTCTAATCCACCCCCACATTGCTGCCCCCATTGTTACCCAGCCACATACTGCACACATCAGGAGTTTGCCCATGTCAAGTTTGCATCAGGAGACAAATGGATATACCAGTGTCAAACCTGTGAATGCCTTGTATGTTTTTCTATTACTGCACTGCTAAATTGACACAATAAATCACGTAATAATTTTTAGATGGGTGAAATAGACTGTTGGGAGGTGGAATGCCCACCAGTCTGGTGTGATTCAACCATATTATCGACAAGCGATTGCTGTCCGAGGTGTCCATCTGATCCACCATGTAATATGAGCAGTGGTGGTTGTAGAGCAGGCCCAGGTATTCCTGGCCGCTACTTCCAACCCGGGCCATGGTCAGACATCAACACCTGTTCATCATGTAACTGTAAGGTATGATCAGAAATTGGCATTATGTATATAATTGTACTTAGAATATTTAAATTAATTATCACTTGATTGACAAGTCTGCCAATATTCATGGCTTTATTTTGTTTATTGTAGAAGACAAAAGACAACAGATCAAACACATTATTACAGTTTATTGCTCAAATCTGTGAAAATTTTTGTACTCTATATTAATTTTCACGTCTAGTTTTAGGAAGTAAACAAAAATATATAATATATAAAAGTTTTAATTCATTACCAAATGTTTTTAGACCCAGCTTCAAAATGTTTTAACAAATTTATAGTGTCATAGTTTTCTAAACAACTCACAGGTAAACATTTTTAACCATTTGGTACATTTCATAATTTTTAATTAATTTAGATAATCTTAATCTTTATTCATCTTAAAGTAATTTCAAGACATAATAAATAAACCAATTATTTTAAAACATATACAACCTGGTATATATTTGCCTGCGAGCGTTATTTATCAGAGTTTATATAATTAATTGAATATTCTATGTTTCAGGTGCCGTTTTGTGACCTTTTGGTGAGCAATTCTGCGTTTTGTGTGCATCGGTAATTCACGTACCCTTCACTTTAAATACGGGCCTGACAGCTTTGATTTTCATATGTAAAAATCAATGAATAAACAATATCCAGTATCAAGTTGGATGTTGATAATTCAAGGTGGCAGGCTCGGCTACTTCTAAAGTAGTGTCTTGTTAATTCACTAATATAAAATGTTGACGCACTTTGAATGATGACATTTCAGTATACATTTTTCTGTCTGTTATGGCATGCAAATGAACAAACAAAAATATGACGCACTTTTGTCAAAGACAAGAGGAGCTGCAACATTTTTTATTTTATATAAACACTGTTGTTTTTTTTTGTCTTAAGTGTTATTATGTACTGTGATCACTGAAATCATGGAGACACAGTATAGCTTGCATACTTAGATGTAATTGAGGCATGCGATTCCAACCGCTTTGATTTTAAATTGTCTGATTCAAGAATGTCAGTTGATTCCTTCTTTTGTGTATATTTTAGATTTGAGTATGTGCTTGGTTTTCATTAGAAAAATGATTTCAAAGCATGTTCTTAAAAATAATATATTAACATTTTTAATCAATATTAATGTCAAGAATTATTAATATAGCAATTTATAAAGTGTATGTTTTCTTGACACTTTGATCCTTTATGATAGGAAAATTTAATTGATATATTTACTATATATTATATTACTTCTGTACATTATTTTTACTTCATAGAATATATATTTGCGTAGATATAAAAAATCAAAATAGACAGTTTATACTTTTACAGTAGGCATTACCTGAGAGTTATACAAATTTGTTTAATTTTTTTTTTAATAGTAGTCCCATTAAAGGAAAAATGGCTGCATGTTTTATTCAAATAAATAGGAGTGACATAGACCAAGTAAATAAATAGCAGAGTAGTACAGGTTGGGTTGGTAGAAAGAAACAAAACTCGAGGAACAAAAAATTCATAAAATTCATATTTTCTGATATTCTGTATTGCTTACACAGCGATGGGAGTGCTTTGGATAAAGGTTAGACATTCTGTGCTGGCTTCCTGGCTTATACAACGAACACTAAAGTGGTAATTATTTGTCGGGACCATTTCACACTTATCAATTTTTTTTCTCCATATTTTCCTTCATACTGCTTGCCCCTTTCTTTCCATACATTTTAACAGTTGTTGTTCATTACTATTTTTTTTTACTTTTCAGTTGTAATTAATTGATTTCAAGCATAAATAGATAAATGCTTAAATTATTTAAAATAGATACAATTTTTTTTACTTTTGCATTTCTAATAAATCTACTGTATGTTTGCAGTTCAAGTTAAAGTGATAAGTTTAATTTTATATATTATGGTTTAGGTAAATTCCAAAAGCTTTTAGTTCCAGAATATTTTTTTTATGTAAGATGCCTCTCACTCACTTTTTGAGCTTAGTCAGCCTACATTAAAACAAAAATGAATATAAATAACACAAAAATGAACTGTTCTTTCCAAACAGTCAAATTGAAATGGTTTCAGTGTTGACAGTTTGAAAAGAACGATTTGTTTTTTGTGTTATTTATATTCTTTTTTATTTTAATGAAAGCTGATGATGTTCACAAGGTGAATGAAAAGCGTCTTACATAAATAAACAAAATATGCTGGAACAAAAAGCTTTTTGAATTTACCTAGATAATAATACATAATGAAGTTCCATTGCAAAAAAGTGCAAACTTTAAAAAAATATTGCTTATTTTTTGAAAATAATACTTCCCTTGTACATTTTTTTTCAAGTTAAAGCTTTTTTTTTAAACAATAAATATAACAAATTTTCCCTATAAATCAGCATACTTGATAGACTCTTTAGGCATGCTTTGCAAAATTTGCGTTTTCTGGCTTTATGAAAATACAACAAACATTGCTTTTGGTATTTGCAACAGTTATAAGATTTTGTTGCATTATGCTATCATACCCTGGCTTATTAGATATTAATGTAAATACAATTTTATAAACAGTATATACAACTATGAACAATATCATTTGTCACTTAAACGTGTAAATTTTATTAACATTTGTAGTAACTAACTTAATTAACGACTGTAATAACAATTGAAAGTTGTTAGTTTGTAAACCCAGCTTACTGTCAGAAAATTCTCAGAATAATTTTAGCATGAGAAACTTCTCTGCACAAACTTAACAAAAATGACAAATAGCGGTCATTTCTGATCATTTAATCAGCCTATTCTCGCTGTATTCATCTGTCAGACACGTTTTGTCTTTTCATCATCTTCAGTTTTACACACGGTTTTACACCGTCTCCCTGCAAACAGCAAGAGGAAATCCCAAAATTCACACTATAATTCTCTAGATTATCAGTTTTTGTTACAATTAGAACTAGATTAAAAAACCTACCACCAAAGATACAAAAAAGCAAAAACACATCTGACAGACCAAAACAGCAAGGATGGACAGGTCGAATGATCAGAAACAACCAAGATACAGGTTCATCAACTCACAGACCTCAAAAAAGAGTTTTAATAAAAATCTATCTAGTATTGATCGAGTTACTTTAATAATAAAATTATTTAACAAATTTTGTTGCTTAACTGTCATGCTTAAATTATTAATTTAATTTTATATAGATTAATATGCCAAGTTGCAGTTCATTTAGCCTGTTTTCCAAATCCCTAGCACTAGAGCAAGAAGTACCAATTAATACATAAAATAATTTTACGATAATAATGAAGTATGTGTGTTATTTAGCAACAGTTGTTCAATAATTTGTTGAAGTAGAGGAGCAGTCAGGATGAAGTATTTTAGAAAAAAAATAAGACCTTTATTCTGTTCATCTTCAGGGCTTTCAAAACATACGTAAAATAGTAAACATAATTTTTTCCAATCAACATATGTTTTGTAATTAACCCAGGCCCTGAAGATGAACCGGATAAAGGTCGAAGCGTTGTCAAAAATATGAAAAAGGTGTTTTTCTAAAATACTTCATTCCTGACCGCTCCTCGCTAATTCGACAAAATAATAAATTATGATAATTATATTACTGTCTGTACTTCTTCCAAATCATTGACAAATAGTACAAAAACTAAGGACTTAAAAGTATAATTGTATGACTTTTATGCTGCAAACTTTTCATAAATTTGAACTGCTGTAGTTGCATAGAGTGATTTCTGAAATTCAAACATTCCTGTAGATGTTTCAAAGCAAAGTAATAGAACAAAGCTTGTCTATCAAAACTGCTTATTTAAAATTCAAAAACATGCATGTACCATTAGTCTTTTCTGGGGAAGAAAGTAGACAATCATTAATTTGTACATACCCTGTTTAAAACCCAGTCTGGCATCCTTTCAATAAATTATTTTCGCCCATTTCTCAAGTCTTCTGGAAATATTCTAGTAAAGAACTTAGTAATGATGTTCTAAAGTGAGATCATACTAGAATTTAATGGATTTTTATCAAATTAATTATTGATTGCTGATTTATATAAGCTCAAATCTGCACACACCGGCAATTCCAGCTTTTGTAAATTATAATAAATCATTGGCAGGCATCGAGAATTAGCCACCCCATGTGTTGGCAGTCCAGAGTCAGACCTCAGTCATATTCTTCTAGTCACTGAGGTTGGGCTCCAGGTGCTATCAACAGCTAGGTCAATTCAACACCCGACAAAATCAGTACCTAAATTCAAACCGACTTCACTCACTCTTAAATACGTTATTTTTAATTTTTTGTTTATTTCTATACTATTCACTCAGTTGAGTGGAGTACTCAATATTCCTCCATCACCCTTTACACCTACTATATAACTTGACACACACACTAGGGACACAAAATTATCATTGTTATACACAATAAAACAACCATGTTTCCTCCTAAAATTAGAGACCAGATACCTTCTGCTGTGCTTAAGCCCGACTCTCATACTGGGTGGAATTTCCTATGTGCTCTCTATTTGGAACCAAAAGCACCATTCAATTAGGTAGTCACATTGATCAACCTTTCTCTGCATGCCAGACAAATACGCGGGCTTTTACCCAAAAGTTATGGAAGAAAGTGTCAACCTCATTTGGCCTATTCTTAATCTGGTGAGGATGGCCCCTCTTCTACAATTCAGATCCTTTGAGGACCACCTATCAACAGTGCTCTTAAACCGTGAAAGCTTCTGTGTTGACCTGCCACTTTCTTTTAATCATGTTTTTTATTGAATTTTTGGCGTAAGAGGGCTAGAACGCAGTGGTTAAGTACAGGGGTTGGGACGACCCAGCCTTAGCCACCCATACGCCTTTTCTCCTCCAGTTGTGTGTCTGAACAACAACCACCATTTTCCCAAGATCCTCTACCTCGTGATTTCTTTTATAAAAGTGGAATTTATAGAACTATAAAAACTTTCAGGTTCCTTTTCTATCTGAAAAATCATACCAAAATTTATTTTGTGGGTTCTAATTTTTCCTGTCATTTTATTATGCTTGGCTTTACTGCTTTCTTCTTATTCTAACTTGATAGGTCAGACATGTCATTTTCTATAACATATATTGTGCTGAACGATGCATTGTGTCTATGAAGGGTACAACATATAAACTTTATTAATTATCACTCCTCTTACTATATTGGTTGATTGTCTTTTCTTTGATGATAGATCTGGACAAATAACTAGTGAACTACTAGTTATTAGTTTGTCCAAATTTATCGAAAAAATTTATTAACATTTTAAACAACTTTAGTACTTTCAAGAATTCTGTCATCTTCCAGTAACTTTTCAAATATAAAAACAATTTCAATTAATTATACTTTTATTTAAGATCTTGGTTGGGATGAAAAAGTTAGTGACACAAGAGTGATTCGAACCCACAACCTTCGGCTTCACCCATTCGTGGGTTTGAATCTCGCTCGTGACACTAATTTTTTCATCTCAACCAAGACTTTAGATAAAAATATAATTTATTGAAATAAATACATAGGTCAATTATGACGGCTAAACATATAGGAATATAAAAACAATGTTAATGATGGAATATTCAGAATATAACTGAAATATATTTGTTGTACAATACAAAAGTTTTGCTAAATTTCTTCACTTTGTAATACATTTAATATATAGAAAAACTTATTATTACAAGAACAGTGGATGTATCCACTAGTTGTAAAACAGTTTTATTTTGCAAAATATATATTTATTCTCAAATTAAAATATGTAATGGCAAAAAATTTATTTGAAAGAGAAGATGTACACTCACTGAGATACTTACATAATACTTTATATAATAATAAATTATAAAAAAATTAAAATTTCAATAATCGGTTCAATTTGTTTCTGCTCTAAACAAACAATTATTATTTATTTAAAATTAACAAAACAAATATTGTATCTGATGTGCTAATCTTAATTAAAATAGTATGACTCTCAGGTTAACTTAAAATCTTTCGCTATATCAATGATAATAATATAAATAGTTTGTTATGTTGATAGTATTGTTGTACTGATATAATAATTATTTCCAGGAGGGTGAATTATGCTGCAGCCTTGATTCTGGGTGTGAAGGGCCTACTTGGACTTGCACCGTTTCGGCTTCATCTTCTTTATATCGAAAGGGAGTACCTCACTTTGATTCTACTCCTGTTTGCAGTCGCAACTGTAGTCAGAATATAAGCGGCTAATACTTCCTTCAGAAAGAAACCAACTTCTAGTCCATTCAGGTTGTTTTATAATATAAATATCTCATTTTAGATATTTGTAAATAGTTTGTTAATAAGGGCCAAGGTTTGTTTTTTGATTTATTTTCTTAAATACATTCATTTGTCTGTGTTTTGTAAAAAGTAAAACGGTGTAATAACAGAAGCTTGTTATCCTAATAAAATGTTTGAGACTGACTAGAGGTACAGCTGTTTATTACGTGGAATGATAAGTATTGAGAAGAACAAGAACAATTTTTCGCTTTCTTAAAAGAAAATAAATCTGTTAAATAAATAGTTAAATAAAAATATTTAAAAAAACGGATAAGCTGTACCTACCGTGTACTGTGTACCTACTGCTTTTGATATCATTACAACATGTCTTCCAACATAATGATGAAACTGATTTTAGTAATCGGATATTTATTGATTGTAATAGACTTTGCGCTTTTGCCATTATGTAAAAAAAATGGTTTGCCTTGTAATTGCATAAATTTGTCTGATATTGCCTAACTCTTTACAGTCATTGAAATTTGTAACCCGTAGTCATTGTACTGTTAAAAAGCCTAAGAAATCTAATGATAATTAAACAAAAACGTATTATTTTCAACAACTAAATATTTATAGTCAATTTGAGAAAACTTATAGTTTTTACTTTATTAGAATATATATTACCATAGAAAAATTGTTTAAAAAAAAATATTAATAATAGTTTTAAAAATTAAAGTTTAAATTGGCGTAAAAACTATAAGTGTTTTTTCGTATTGGGCTTAGACATTGCTTGTAAGTTTCTTCATAATATACAAAAATAATAATTTTAATTTTCAAATATTAAAATGTTATAGTATATCAATTTAAATTTTCCTTTCTAGAATCAACTGAAAAAATATAAGGTTCTGATATAACTTTTAGATATTTGTGAATATATGAGTTATTTTAACAGTAAAAATTAGAAAAACACAACTACTATTTTTTAAACTGTTTTGAGTCATTCAGTGCTGCTGCAATATGTTAATATATTATTTTAAGATGTAATTTTAAAGTGTTTTTTTTTATTTGTAGTTTGTTAACTCATAAATCCGAAAGAAAAGTGTACATCATAATATTTTCAATTTATAAATTTCCTCCTGCCCTTTTTAAAAACATTGATAACTACTATAACATTTTATTCAAATATAATCAGTGCATTAAAAAGAAAGCTAGTATGTTGTTATGATATTAGTGAACTACTTGTCTGGTACTGAAAAAATAACTAAAAGTTCTGGTAAGCACATATAAGCAATGGAAAGTGATTTTGAAATTTATGTTAACTATTACATGAAGCATTAAGAAGAGGTTGATTCTCCTTTTTCTGAAAGACTTTATTCAGAATGAAAGCAAAACCTGATAAAAAAAAAAAAATTTAACACTTGTGAGAGTTAGTGGGTGAAACAAGAAATATAACAATAAATACTTTCAAATGTAGTTCCTTTAAATTAGACACCACTTTGTGTATGTGTTTGTGTGTACATATAGTTAAAGAAAAACTCACTTTTAACGTTGTACTATATATTTTGCATATATGTATATATGTATTTACAGAATTATATACATATAACATGTTTAAGATGCAGCTCTTGACAATATAATTACAATTATAATCGACACAAAAGATTCTTTTGACATAAAATCGTAATATAGAATGTATTTGTGTAATTTGTGTTGTTGAAATGTATTTTGACAATTAGCATTGTAAAAAAACTATTCTTGTAATGGCTTCTTTTAAAAAGCCTCTCGAACTCGAGTGATTCAGACTAAAACTGTAGATAGCTGTCTTCTTCAGTTTAATAATTAAATTTAATAAACTAAAGCACAAAATATTTATGTAAATCAATGCCTAATTTGATTAAAGAAAAATAAAATTACATAGATCTTAGGAAAAGAGTGACAGTTTTTTTTTTAATATAGAATAAATGTAAACAAAATAACTTGAGATAGAAGAACAAAAACATGTAGTCAGTAATATAGAGGTGCAATTATATAATTGTTGTATTGCAAACTGTTACATAATGGTCAGTTATCGAGATAAGTCACCGTTTCAAGCATTTTCTCTCGATTTGGACCACACTATTTTCTTAGAAACTATTTGTGATTTGAGGACAAGAAAATTGTGATGAAATTTTTATTCAAAATCATGATAGAAAGAAAGATATAGTCTGTATTGCCACAGTGTGTTAATATAAATATCACACAAACTTGTAAGGAATGCCTAACTTAAGTATATTAATCAAAACATTGTCCTCGGCGTAATTTCTTGGTATTTTAATATGTGCTGTTTGATGATATGTAAGACAAATAAATGTTTGTCTTTTTAGACAATCTTCAGCGGAAGTGTACACTGCCTTCATTATCAGGATGTATTCCCAAGTTACCTGCTTTCGCTTTAGACAATTAAATTAAAAAATGGATAGAAAATTATAATTTTTTTTTCTTCTGTTAATAAAAATAGTTAACAAAAAAGTTTTATTTGTAATTTAGGAAAACAAGAAACTGTTAAATTCTTGGCCTTGCTACTATTGCATTAGTTTAAAATTTAAATCTATGAAAGTATATAGGCAAAAGTATTGTAATTTTAAGCACTGAATTTTGTATATAATAATTATTAGTAAACAGAATTTCATGAAATTGTAAAAAAAAGGTTAGATAAATTGTTGTGGAAATTTATTGTTCAAGTGTTTTATTTATTTTCTTAGAATCATGATCCATTTTAATTATATAAGTTGCAACATCGTAATCAGAACATTCCTATATTTTGTACTAAAGTGAAAATATTAAGATAAATAAAACAATCATGTAGATATACAGCAAGAAAATTAATTTTAAAAAATACCTGTGACCATCGAATAATATGTTGATATTTGTATTTCACAGCAGTCTTAATTTTTGTTCTGATGGTAAAAATTCCGAATAGAAATGCTGCAGTTTTGTGTTCTTTTCTAATGAAAATATATACAAATTTTAGTGTGTGTACTTTTTCATTTTATTCAACTAAACATACCAGTTCCATATTTTTTACAGTTACACAAGAAAATTAAATCCATTATGAGAGTGTCATTTTGTGCAACCTATAATAAATATTTGTTCAAATCCCTCTGACTATATAAATGCAATAAAAACCGTGATTAAAAGAATGTGGCAGTGTCAGTTGGCTGGATCGGGGGAGAAACTCTCACATATCAAGAGCGTTGTTGATAGGTGGCACTCAGAGGATCTGACCCATAGAAGAAAGGTCATCCTCACCGAGTAAGGATAAGCCTTGCAAGGGTGTTTTTTTTTTTTTTTTTTTTTTTTTTTTTTTTTTTTTTTTTATGTCCCTAGCGTGACTCTGTTGAGAGTGAATAATATTAGTGTATATTAATATTATTTACAAGTTAATAACGACATCACAAAATTAGGTCTTTTTAGTAAAATTAAAATTTTTATAAAGTAGGCATGTTACATCATAATTTAATTTTACTCCTTATTGGCTTTGGCCCAAAAGTAAGTTGAGATTGACAAAATTAAAATACAAAATATCGTAAAATTAACTTTTTTTTATATTCAATCTGATTTGTAATCCCAGTCTTTCCATAAACGTATCCCTATGATACTTTAATGATAATTATAGTCATAGAATAGCAAAACTGTACTAACGATACGATAATATGTAATTATTTTGATTGCTGTAATGTACAAAAATGAAGCTTAAAACAAATTATAAATAATAAGGAAATCAATAGCCAATAAATTGTACTGAACATGTCATCTCTTAAGGGGGACGAGTTAAAGTCCAATTTTTAGTTTAAAATTCGAGTGATTATTTAATATTTTGTTAAATACCTGCATGTGTATAATATATTATGTATAATGTTCATTATACATACAGTATATATTATTGTAGAGAGTATCAATAACTGGGGCATGAAACAATTCCTTAGGGGGTGGAATTTATCCCCTGGACACAGGCAATTGAAAGAGTTTGTTAAGGCGATCAAACCAGCTGAATCGAAATGGCTATTCTCTATCTCCAGGAAGGGAATTAGGTGGCTGATAGGTATTCTGACGGGCCACTACACACTGAGAAGACACCTCTTCGTAATGGGTATCCTACCAGATCCCTTTTGCCGCTTCTGCGAAATAAAAGAGGAAATGGCAAAGCACTACCTCGCAGAATGTAATAGGTATGCTAGGTCTAGATTTGAAATCTTTGAAGGAGAGGACATCGCCAAATCACTCCCCGAGATAAAATGGTCTAAAATCTTGGGGTTTGTGAACAAGTCCAAGAGGTTTATGCAGGACATGTGAGCCGACCAAGTCCCGGACCTTTTAGGGATGGTTAAAATATCAACGACCTGCCAGGGTTCCTGCAGCAGGGAAATTTCCCGAATTTTCTTTGTACTTTGCATACGACTATTTACGTCCATTAAAAAAACATTATATATATCACCGTGAATATATATAATTTTTTTAATATATTTATTGGCGTTAATTGTATTTATAACAAAATTTGAATAACAAGTAATAACATCAAATACAGTATAGTGGGAAACCAGTCAAATCAATTTTCCGAGTTTTCCCCCCCTTTTCCTCTTATATCTCGTAGACGGCTCGGTCAATTTTCTTATTTCCAACGTTTTTCCGTTAGGTTTGGACCGAACTAGCTGGGAAACTAGTCAAATAAATTTTCCGAGTTTTCCTCCGCTTTTCCTCTTATATCTTCATCCGCTTTTCCTCTTATATCTTCATCCGCTTTTCCTCTTATATCTTCATCCACTTTTCCTCTTATATCTCGTAGACGGTTCGATGGTTTTTCTTACTTCCAACGTTTTTCTGTTAGTTTTGGATCGTACTAGATGAGAAACAAGTCAAAAAATTTTTCCGAGTTTTCCTCCACTTTTCCTCTGATATCTCCTAGACGCCTTGCTGGATTTTCTTACTTCCAACGTTTTTCTGTTCGTTTTGAATCCTACTATATGAGAAACAAGTCAAAAAAAATTTCTGAGTTTTCCTCCGCTTTTCCTCTTATATCTCCTAGACGCCTTGCTGGATTTTCTTACTTCCAACGTTTTTCTGTTAGTTTAGGACCGTACCAGATGGGAAACAAGTGAAAAAAATTTTTCCGAGTTTTCCTCCGCTTTTCATCTGATATCTCCTAGACGCCTTGCTGGATTTTCTTACTTCCAACGTTTTTCTGTTCGTTTTGAATCCTACTATATGAGAAACAAGTCAAAAAAATTTTCCGAGTTTTCCTCCGCTTTTCCTCTTATATCTCCTAGACAGCTCGATGGATTTTTTTACTTCCAACGTTTTTCCGTTAGTTATTCAGATATCGTGAGATGCGGTCGGGTGTGATGTAGGTTTCAGAAAAACATTTTTTTTACATTTTTTTACATTTTTTACATTTTTACATCACACCCGACCGCATCTCACGATATCTGAATAACTATCGATTAACGGTCACTAATCTCTACACGTTTTTCCGTTAGTTTTGGATCAACGAAATGGTAAAGTATTCAGAAAATGTTTTTCCTCCGCTTTTTCTCTTATAACTTTTAGACGGTTAGATGGATTTTCTTAGTTCCAACATTTTTACGTTAGTTTGCAATCGAACTAAATGGTAACGGTACGTTCAGTTAGGGTGATAAGTAGATAACAT